CTCAGCTGCAAGTCCTGGAGGGCCTCTCTGTATCTACATGGCACAGAGAAATATATTTTCATTTATAATTTGTTCCCTGTTCCCGGCCGCAAAAGATTCCCTGGTGTTAGGTCCAGACAGGACCCTTCACCTTACAGACTCCACGGTACGCCTAGAAGTTAGTAAATATACAGAAATAGTTTTTTTTTTTTGTTAGTACCCCCTTTTTTATTTTAATTTGCTTGGAATAAAAAAACCGGTGCCTTTACTTATCACAAGTTGAAGTGTAATTTGTTTTATTTCCATGGTGCTGACCAGACAAGGTTTAGGGAAGGAGCTGATTTAGAGTTTTCCCTCAGGTAACTCAGAGTTCTGCTGGGTGGTCTGGGTGCTCTGATAAGCAAATGGATGCAGCTGAAGCCTTGCTAGAACCAGAAATAAGAGGCTCAGGGGCAATTCTTGAGGAATTTAAAATCCCACTTCCATGGGTTTCCTGGATTAGGTCAGTTCCTGTCTGCTCAGTCCTAGGGAAGATGGAATGAGATGGTCTTGAAGGTCCCTCCCAACCCAAAGCACTCTGTGATTCTGTCAATGAGTTAAGAATAGGGAAATAAAGCACTTTTCCCCTGCATTGAAATGGCCAACCCTGTATGAAGGCAATTTTTCCAAAGCTCAAACCCACCTGCCTTTTACCAGGGTAAACTCCAGAGTGGAGCAGCTCCAGAGGGAACAGGAGCAGGGGCTGGAAAATCACCTGTGAGCCCTCAGTGTGTGAATATTGCACTTCTACCCAGGGTGTGTTTGGGTTGGAAAGGACCTTAAAGGTTGTTTAGTTCCACTCCTGCCACGGGCAGGGACACCTTCCACTGTCCCAGGTTGCTCCAACCTGGCCTTGGACGCTTCCAGGGATCCAGGAGCAGCCACAGCTTCTCTGGGCAAAACCTGTGCCAGGGCCCCCCAACCCTCCCAGGGAGGAATGAGATCCCTATCAAATCACAAGTACTTGGAATTCTGATTTACTACAGCTTTTAAACCACTTACTGCATGAAAAAAAAACCCAACCAACCAAAACTTAGGATCTGGAAACATTTTAGGCATTTTTAGTACAACATTTTAGGCAGATGCAATAAAATTTGGGCCCACCCCTGAGTTCAGTTCTTAGATTAGCTCATGGTCTGCGGGTTTTTCACCTCTTGCATGGCTGCTCATGCTAAAAACTTCCCTAACCATGGCTTTAAGCGGAAACAGGAGCTTAGTTAGGAATTTTACAGTTAGGAACTTTACAGCAATAATAAGGTCAGACTCAAATACAAACCAAATTTGGAAAGGTTTGGGTTTGTTTTTTTTCAGAAAACCAGGGCTATTTTCCAGTGGGATTTGTTGCAGAGTGGCTGCAGGTGACAATTCATTTCCAACTGATCAATGTGTACAAACCCTGAGCAGTGCCAGCACTTGGGGCACACAAACCCCAAACAGCTGCAGGTGATGGGTGTGTGTCTGGTCCTCTGTGACCCTCCTTTCTCCCTCACCAGGAGCACTCTCTGCTTTGTTTTCTGAAGCCTGCAGAGTCACAATTCCATTTTTTTTGGGGGGTGGGGAAAGCAATACAGACTGTGCTGCAGCATCAGCGTTCTTGTGGCAAATAATTTATTTCTGAACAGGTAACGTGGCAGGCTCCTGAAAAACAGAGGGGGGTGGGTTCTGAGGTGTAAAACCAATCGTAGGACAAGGCAGATGTTTCTCACAGAGCTCTCAGGATCTGCCCACAGAACAATCAAATCCCAAACCCGTGGCACAGCTGTC